ACAAAAATTAGCTGGCCATGGCACACACCTGAAATCGCAGCTACTCAGGAGGCTGACACAGGAGAATCACTTGAACTCAGGAGGTGGAGGTTGCAGTGAGCCGAGATCGCACCACTGCATTCCAGCCTGGCAACAGAGCGAGACTCCGTCTCAAATTAAAAAAAAAGAAAAAAAGAAATGTAATAATTCCCACATATCAAGGGCTGGACTAGGTGGAGATATAATTGAGTCATGTGGGTGGTTTCTCCTATACTGTCCTTGTGATAGTGAGTAAGTCTCATGAGATCTGATGATTTTATAAATAGGAGTTCCCCTGCACAAGCTCTCTTGCCTGCTGCCATGTAAGAGGTGACTTGGCTCATTTGCCTTTAGCCATGACTGTGAGGCCTCCCCAGCCATGTGGAACTGTGAGTCAATTCAACCTCTTCCTTTATAAATTACCCAGTCTCAGGTATGTCTCTATCAGCAGCATGAGAACAGACTGATACAATAAATTGGTTCTAGGAATGGGGTGCTACTGTCAAGATACCCCAAAATGTGAAAGAAACTTTGGAAGTGGGTAACAGGCGATGTTGGAACAGTTTGGAGGGCTCAGAAGACAGGAAAATATGGGAAAGTTTGGAACATTCTAGAGACTGGTTGAATGGCTTTGACCAAAATGCTGATAATAATATGGACAATAAAGTCCAGGCTGAGGTGGTTTCACATGGAGAAGAGGAACATATTGGGAACTGGAGGAAAGATTGCTCTTGCTATGCAAAAAGTCTGGTGGCATTTTGCCCTTGCCCTAGAGGTCTGTGGAACTTTGAACTTGAGAGACGTGGTTTACAGTATCAGGCGGAAGAAATTTCTAAGTGACAAAGTGTCAAGAGGAAGCAGAGCACAAAAGTTTTGGAAAATTTATAGGCTAACAATGTGATAGAAAAGAAAACGCCATTTTCTGGGAAGAAAATCAAGCCAGCTGCAGAAATTTGCATAAGTAATAAGAGCCAAATGTTAGTCACCGAGACAATGGGAAAAATGTCTCCAGGTCAGGTCAGAGAGCTTTGCAGCAGCTTCTCTCATCACAGGCCCAGAGGCCTAGGAGGGAAAAATGGTTTCCTGGAATGGGTCCAGGGCCCCCCTGCTGTGCAGCCTTAGGATTTGGTGCTCTGCATCCCAGCTGGTCCAGCAGTGGCTAGTAGAGGCCAAGGTACAGCTGGAGCCAAGGCTTCAGAAGGTGCAAACCCCAAGACTTTGCAGCCACATGGTGTTGAGCCTGCAGGTGCACAGAAGCCAAGAATTGTGGTTTGGGAAACTTTGCCTAGATTTCAGAGGATGTATGGACACACAGGTAGAGGTGTGCTGCAGGGGCACAGCCCTCATGGAGAGCCTCTGTTAGGGCAGTGCAGAAGGGAAATGTGGAGTGGGAGCCCCCACACAGAGTCCCTACTGGGGCACGGCCTAGTGGAGCTGTGAGAAGAGGGCCATTGTCCTCCAGACCCCAGAATGGTAGATCTACCAACAGCTTGCACCGTGCACCTGGAAAAGCCACAGACACTCAATGCCAGCCCATGAAAGCAGCTGGGAGAGAGGCTGTACCCTGCAAAGCCACAGGGGCAGAGCTGCTCAAGACCATGGGAACCTATCCCTTCCATCAGCATGACTTGGATGAGAGACATGGAGTCAAGGGAGATCATTTTGCAGCTTTAAGATTTGACTGCCCTGTTGGATTCTGGACTTACATGGGGCCTATAGCCCCTTTGTTTTGGCCAATTTCTCCCATTTGGAATGGGTGTATTTTTCCAATGCCTGTACCCCCATTGTTTGTAGAAAATAACTAACTTGGAGGCTGGGCATGGTGGCTCACGCCTGTAATCCCAACACTTTGGGAGGCTGAGGTGGGAGGATCACCTGAGATCAGGAGTTTGAGACTAGCTTGGGCAACATGGTGAAACCCTGTCTCTACTAAAAACACAAAAATTATTCTACTCAAGTCTTGATCCAAAAAAAAAAAAAAAAAAAAGAAAGAAAAAAATACAAAAATTAGCTGGGCATGGTGGCAGGTGCCTGTGATCCCAGAGACTTGGGTGACTGAGGCAGGAGAACTGCTTGAACCCAGGAGGCAGAGGTTGCAGTGAGGCAGTGAGTGGAGATCATGCCATTGCACTACAGTTTGGGTGACAAGAACTAAACTCCATCTCAAAAAAAGGAAAAGAACTAACTTGCTTTTGATTTTACAGGCTCATAGACTTGCCTTGCTTCAGATGAGACTTTGGACTGCGGACTTTTGAGTTAATGTTGAAATGAGTTAAGACTTTGGGGCACTGTTGAGAAGGCATGATTAGTTTTGAAATGTGAGGACATGAGATTTGGGAGGGGACAGAGGCAGAATGATATGGTTTGGCTGTGTCCCCACCCAAATCTCACCTTGAATTGTAATAATCCCCACGTGGGCCAGGTGGAGATAACTGAATCATTGGGGTGGTTTTCCCTATAATTTTCTCATGGTAGTGAATAAGTCTCATGAGATCTGATAGTTTTATAAATGGGAGTTCCCCTGCACAATTTCTCTTGCCTTGTGCCATGTAAAACATGATTTTGTTCCTTATTCACCTTCTGCCATGATTGTGAGGCCTCCTCAGCCCTGTGGAACTGTGAGCCAATTAAACCTCTTTCCTTTATAAATTACCCAGTCTTGGATATATCTTTATTTTATTTTGAGACAGAGTCTCCCTCTGTCACTCAGGCTGGAGTGCTGTGGTGTGACCTCGGCTCACTGCAACCTCAGCCTTCCAGGTTCAAGCAATTCTCCTGCCTCAGCCTCCCGAGTAGCTGGGATTATAGGCACACACCACCACACTCAGTTAATTTCTGTATTTTTAGTAGAGTCGAGGTTTCACCATGTTGGTCAGATGGGTCTCAAATTCCTGACTTCAGATGATCCATCTGCCTTGGCCTTGCAAAGTGCTGGGATTACAGGAGTGAACCACTGTGGCTGGCTGGGTATGTCTTTATTAGCAGCTTGAGAACAGACTAATACAGGCAGTAAATGATTTTTAGGAGAACTGAGTGGACCCAAAGAGCAAACAGTACTTTGTAAATGATTCTCTTTGAAAACTAAATGGGACCAGAGGACAGATAATAGTCTGGTACAAAATTTTTTTTGTGCTCTCAGGGAGGTAGCAATAAATTTCAAAAAGGCAAGAAGCAGAACTTCATTGTGAACAAAGGTTGTCTTATTATGCAGCTAAAGTCTCCCAGGTAACCTCTCAGAACTGCCCTCAGAAAAACAGATGAAAAGTCTGTCTGGGCAAGGTGACTTTTAGTCTTTTCTGGTAGTTAATCTTCCATGGTTATTTGATGAGATTTCCTAAGGAGGGGATTTTAGGCCCATGGCATTTCATTTGGAATAAGTCTTCTCAGTCAGATAAGGAAACTTCCATAGAGAACTCCTCCCTGTGCTTGATGTGGGGTGGAGGTACAGAAACTAAGAACTCTTGTTTTTTTTTTTTTGTTTGTTTGTTTGTTTTTGAGATGAAGTTTTGTTCTTGTTGCCCAGGCTGGAGTGCAATGGCGCCATCACTGCAACCTCTGCCTCCAGGATTCAAGCCATTCTCCTGCCTAAGCCTCCTGAGTAGCTATAGCTGGGATTACACGCATGTGCCACCACACCCAGCTAATTTTGCATTTTTAGTAGAGACGGGTTTTCTCCATGTTGGTTAGGCTGGTCTTGAACTCCCAACCTCAGATGATCTGCCTGCGTTGGCCTCCCTAAGTGCTGGAATTACAGGTGTGAGCCACCACGCGCAGTCAAGTCCTTGGTTCTGAGGCAGCTTAGATGGCCTTTTAATTTCCTTTAGTTCAGTGTGCTCAGCATGTTGAAGCACCATCCTTTGCGGCATTGTTTTCTGCACCCTAATGCTTTTAGTAGCCATTTCTGTGCTACAAAAACACCTGAAATGGTGTTTCAGGTAAGCAGGAAAAAAGCTCACGGCCTCTAGCTTTCCTATTTCTAAAGCTCAGCTAGCTCTCTTTCTTGGGTTCTTTCTCTGAGCTTAGGCAGGGGACAGTTAAGCCTACAGTCCGGTTTTCTGAGATTCAGCCATAAGTCACTCTTGCTACAATCTTCTGTGATCGTGTTTTTCTTTGGGTCACTGAAGCAGTATTTGGCTAATCTGCCTGTGAACACTGTCCACTTTCCGTAAGGCCAGAGTGCTGCTTGCTTCTGCTGATAGTCTTCCCTGCAGGTGACTGTTCTTGACTGTGCTTTAGAGGAATGACCAACCCTGGATTCCTCATCACCATAGTGACACAGTGTGCTTCCTCAATTGGACCTTGTCTATGCCAATAGCTTAGTCTTTGTTTGTACCACCATGAATTTGCTATTTGTTTTTGTTTTGTTTTCAGACAGTTTCACTTTTGTTGCCCAGGCTGAAGTGTAGTGGTGCAACCTCGGCCTCACTGCAACCTCCGCCTCCTGGGTTCAAGCAATTCTTCTGCCTCAGCCTCCTGAGTAGCTGGGATTACAGGTGCATGCCACCATGCCCAGCTAATTTTTTGTATTTTTAGTAGAGACGGGGTTTCACCTCATGGGGCTGGTCTCAAGCTCCTGACCTCAGGTGATCTAGCCACCTCAGGCTCCCAAAGTCCTCGGATTACAGGTGTGAGCCACTGTGGCCGGCCAAATATGGTATTTGATTTGACATTTTATATTACAGATTAAGTCCTTATGAAAGACAATGCTTATCCCAGATGTACTTAAGATCTTTGATTTGTCAGTGCTTTCTACTTTCATTCTACCTATCATTCAACTTTCTTAGCTTAACCATCTTTTTTTTTTAAACCATCTTCTAATGTAAAAAAAAAATTGCATTAATATATAAAAGTATAGACTTCAAGTTTAGAAAGCCTGTCTCTTTGGAAAGTTACTGACCTCATAGCAAACTATGAATAAATTCCCCAAAGTAGGATGAACCGAGCAATTTATATCCATATATAAACATAATTATACTATATAGTTACATAACTAGAATAAAATTTAATGTAAATGTGCCAAAGAGGAGAAGAAATCACAGAATATTTTACAAAACTTACATGAAATAAGAAAATGTTCAACTATGTAATAACCAAAGCTTCCTTAACTTGGCAATCTTGGGAACTTAGAAAGTGAGGTAACCCAAGTCAAATTCCTTTGGTGTCACAGTTCCTCCTGTACCAGGCCAGGTAATTGCCAATGAAATTGGAGTAGAGGTAAGCCCTGGATGTGTTGTGTAGTGTGTGAGGTAGTAGGTGAAAAACAGTGAAGAGGTAATTCTTTATGCTCTAGAACTTCCTCGTGCACATGATCAGCTTCCGCATGAGCTTGGAGGAAAAATAACACTATTAAAATATCTTTTTAAAAGTTAAAGCTAAATGAGTATGCATTAAAGCTTTGAGAATTGGGGAAAAAATCTATGAGGACAACGTCAGTTTGCTTATCCAGGGAATGAGCAAAACTTAATTCTCATGCCAGCATGGGGCTGCTGGGCACCCAGCTCCTTTCACTGTGGGTAGAAAACGAGTCCCCAAGTTGCTACTGAGCCAAACTTTAAAGGCCAGTCAGGAAATGAGCAGCAGTCCCAAATGGGAAAGACTGGATCCATGTTTTTTTCCTAAAGTAAACAAAAGATATGCAAAAGTATTTCCTTGCACTATTTGGCAAGAGAAAGAAGCACCTGGAGAGTGATTTAGGGAGAGAAACCATGGAAGAAATGGTAAAACAAGGAAGGTTATAATGAAGCTTTGTCTCACTAATCTCCAGAGCCCAGGTGTTCTATTAGGAAACAAAGATGCAAATGAAGAGACACTCAGACTGGTGGATTAAGAATATATTCATGTAAAGGATAGGTTTTCCATGCTTTTTGGGATGCTGAATTTCATCTTTCATTTAGATTAAAAAGAAACTTTAAAAATATCTTCTAGAAAGTCAAAGTAAAAATATAAATATTAAAATAAATGAGGACTGTGAAAGAAAAAGTATGAGCAATGAGAAAAGCAATTATCCTTGGAGGCAGAAATTTCTTTCTTGTTTCGATGCAGCATGTGATGCTGGCAATTTCAGCCATTCTCTTTCAGGCAATTTTCAGTGCGAGTGCCAAACACTGCTTAGGGGGCTGTGTCTCTGCTCACCTGAGGGAACAGGGCACAACTAAAGCCCTAAGGAGAGCGATCGAATTCTTTACACCAAGCATTCTGTTCAGCCGGACCGCCTTAGGAGGAACACAAATTGCTCTCAGGAGGCAGGTGAGAGAAATGAGGCAGCAATTATGTAGTGTTGCTTGTTCTAAGTACATAGCATTAAAAAACAAAACAAAACAAAAAAAACAAACAAAAAACACTAATGCAATGGACTCAGCAGCCGGCTCACTGCTAATTTTAGGAAGTCACACAGGTTTAGTGCTTGTTCCCTGTGAAAAAGCCTTAAAAGCCCAAAGGGCGACTGTCTTTCTCCAGTGTTTTTTGAAACAACCAATACTTGATATATAAAGATTAAATGAGGAAAAATTAATTTCTGTGTTTTCTGCAGTGAACTAGGAGCAATGGATTGAAAACATTTGGCCAAATAATTTTCATAAGCATAACAAAATTCCATTTTCCTGGACCAAACCTCATTAGCCCAACTAGGAAAGATGATGCTTGGGGCTTTTTAGGAGGCAATCGAAGGCTCATTTTATTTGATAGGTAACATCTGATAGAGAGAAGCATTTCACGCCCTGGGGCCTGGATCTACTTAGTGGCTACCTGCTGGAGAAAATCAAAGAAAGATAAAGAGCCAGATCACTGGGATGCCAAGGACACAGCTACCTGGGCACTATTTGAAGTCCATGTGTTCCTCAAGTATTGATTTTTTTCCTCTTTCTGTAACGTTAACATGTATTTATTCATTCAGCTGCCTCTGGCTGTTCCTTACTTAAGGTTAAGTGGTTGTGAAACCACAGACACTATAGAATCAGGAGCTGTTGTTTTAAACTCTTGGCCAAGTGGAGGTGCCTGTTAGCTTGCCTCTGCTGAGATCCAGGGGCAGCTGAGGGTGGGCTGTCTGACCATCTGGAGATTTCGGTGTGCTGCATCCATTTTATGCCAACCTGCCTTGCCAGAATTAGGGTCACTGTGCTCTGAGACACTTTGAGATGGTGCTCAAGGGAGCTGTGCTCTGCAGCCTCCTAGGTCCCTCCTGCAGGTGCACTTGCTTTTTTAATCTGATGCTATTTTTCTTACCCTCTGTAGGCACTCACACGCAGAACTATTATTACTTGCTTGTTACTGCATGTTGCTGATTCATACTCATAGGAAAAAGTAATTTTATCTTCAACACCTCTTCCCTGTCATTTAAGACATATGTAAATGAAAGACAGATTTTGGCATCCACTTTTCTCTGTAGATTTGAGGCCACAATATAGATTCATTATAAATGAAGATGCAACTGTTATTTTACTTCTATTTATATTTATAACTACACCAAAGCCATCTTGCGGGTACCTTTGTGCTTCTCAAATCTCAAACCATATTCCAAGAAATCGTATTCCAAGAAATGTTCAACATTTCATGCTTGAATTGGTATTAATGTGGCATTAATGTACATACAATGTTTTAAATAATGATGTTTTCACTCATATTTTATTACTGACACCTCCTGATTTCACATATTTTACATTACCCTAGAGCTGAATCCTTTTGAAGACATTTTAAGGGTTTCTTTTTTCCCCTTGCAGTACAGAACGATTTTTTTTCTTTAAGTGAGGAGTATGCAAGTGAGAGTGCTCTGCAAGGAGGGATGCCAAGTGGAAGGCTGAAGCCTGAGGGGGTGGGGCAAGTGCAGAACGAGGCAGAGGCAAAATGCTGAAAAGAACTGATTGAAAGCTTTTTGCTTTGTCATTCCTCTCAGTTCCTTTCCTTCTCTTCCTTTCCAATTTGTAATTGTGGACAAGTGTAACCTACTTATTTGCTAGAATGGTTGGATCTAGAATGAGCCATAACCTTGAAGGTCGTCCGAAACAAACTCCTCTCCACTGCTATCGTTTTCTGATTCAGAAGCTCTCTTTCTTCCCCGCTGCCTTTCCCAGCAGCATTTGGGCCCATCCGTTATAAGTGCAGCGGGTAGAGTAGAGGTTTTGGAATCACACAGTTCTGGGTCTTCGTTGTGACTCTGCTACTTACTAGATGTGATATCCTGAGCAAGTTACCCAACATGTGTTCTGTAAATGGTTATCATAAAAATGAATTCGTAGGAGTTTGAGGATTAAATAATGCATACAGTATACATGAAATCTGGCATTCAGAGCTAAATTAAGAGTAGTAAGCAGTTCAATAGGAGCTAGGACCCATGCTTCCTGTTTGACTCTGAGGCAACACTTTTTTCCAATGAAAAATACTGTCTTTCTTACAATGTCTCATAAAACCTTTGAAAAAGTCTATGTTGCTGGAATACTGTGTGTACTGTCTTGCAGACTGCAAATGCTGTTATTAATAACAATACCTCACATATATTCAATGCTCTAGAATTGACAATGCACTTTCACAAGCGGGGAAAATACCCACGCCAACACAAAGTCTCCTGATGACTAATAGAGGCAGGAAGCAGGAGGAGCAGAGGCTTTGAAAGAGGTCTATTAGCGATGCAAATGTGAAGTTATCTGCACTTGTGAGGAGCATAACAAACATCAAAACCAATGAGAAGTAACAATGTGTGATCTATTCAGGCTTCAGGACTTTGATGAGTTGGAAGTTTTGGGGTTTAACAATCCAGATGGTTCTGATGGCTTTTTTTCCTCCAAGAGGGCAGCGAGATGCATATGGGTGAATTTTCACGTGCAAACTAGAGTACAGCAATGACACAGAATCACATACCGGTAGAAACTGGAACATGTTCACAATTTGGAGACAAAGCATATGGAACTGAGACTGGCAAAGCAAATAAGTTCTCAGAAGTCAGTGTTAAATGGGTGTTTCAATACAGGCAAATGTGTCATACCGAATGCAAAACTTTTAATAATAGACACTGTTACCTTGACTTTCTCAGAACCTTTGGAAACAGTTCCTCATGTGTGAGAATTTTTACATTTGGACAATGCTCAAAAGTGAATTTTTAGAAATAGAGAAAAAAAATGAAGGATGCATTTAAAAAATATATTCCATTGTTTCTATATTATAAGAAGATGAAAGAATATACCTTTTACTGCTGGAAAGAAAATGGTCCTTTTGAAATTCAGCTCTCTCAGAAGATGAATTTTTAAATATCAAACTCTGCCTAACCAACTGGTCCTAGCTTTATGGATTTGAGGGGTAAATCAGAATTTCATGCAGTTATCAAATATTTTAAACTAATACCCAAGCAGTTACATTTGCAACACTTCATGATTTCTTAACATCTATAGACAAAATTCCAAATAGGTTTTTCTCTTTTCTTTCTCTACCAAAATCGACATTTTTTCTAGCAGCAAACCCTGAGAAGGAAGTTGCTGTAGGTAGATTAAGAGAGAGAAAGACTGACCAGGCAAGTAGAAGACACTGGTGGAAATGGCCCTGCTGCGCAGCCATGTGGAATAGAAGGGCTATGCTGGACAGAGCCCAAAAGAGACCAGTTTGTGTCTCACAGTCCAAATTTGGTTGATGTATTTTTGAAGCTTCTAAAGGTTAACTCACATGCTGTAATACATTATAGAATAAGACACGAAGCCGAATTTTACTGTGCCAGTCAAGAGGCTGGCTTGAATCCGCTATTTAGAACTGAGAGAGACAGTACAATTTACATGTGTGAGAATGTGAGAATAATTTTACCTTCTGTTGTTTTTAAAACCACCTTGGGCCATGATTTTTAAATGGAGACACAAGGAGATCTGCTGGGGTTCCCATAGCAACATTAACTTATCTAAACTGCCCCTGTTGTATGTAATACTTTCATTACTAGTTTGGCTTTTTAATGTACACTTTAATTATGAAATACAACTGAGTTAAGAGTCTTGGGCAAATTTTAACGTTTACATTTACTGATTTATGCATGTTTGAACAGAAAGCTTGATAACTACTTCTGAGGACTTGCCATCAAGGCAAGTTTGTGCAAAAACCTTTATGTGGTCTTCCTTGCCACTGATCTCTGACCTCACTCCATTCCATTCCATAGGCAACTCCTCAATCTCTCTCAATACATTTGTAAGACACCATGTCTAGGATAAAACAGAAACAAAATAATCTCAGATGGCTCCAGTTCAGAGACTAGAAGTCAATATACCTGCTATTCTAGGCTATTTGAAAGCTGACCCCTTCCCGTCTTTTCTCCCTATTCCTCATGATTAATGTCCCATACCACACTTGTCTTCTCACCATCTGCTGAGAATGTACATTCAAGAAGTAGCCTGAGACCTACCTCCCCCAAGAAACCGGATTCTTTTCCATTCTTTTTCAGAGCTCATTTCTCTCTCTCTCTGTAGAACTAATTACTAATGCTGCTATCACTGCTATATGATGCGTTGGGTGTGACTGGACAGCATCCTCCCCTGGTTTTTTTGATAGCAGTGTCTTGATTTTCTTTTGAAGAACTTTCTCCCATTCCGGGAATTGACATTTTCTTCTACTCCAAGCTGCAGTGCAGTGGTGCAATCTCAGCTTACTGCAACCTCTGCCTCCCAGGCTCAAGCAATCTTTCCACCTCAGCCTCCTGAGTAGCTGGGACCACAGGTGCGTGCCACCATGCTTGCCTAATTTTTGCATTTTTAGTATAGACAAGGTTTCACCATGTTGCTCATTCTGGTGCCCATTTGTAAGACACCATGTCTAGGATCAATTAAGCTACCCTGTCCCAGCCTGTTAAGAGATGAACCAATAAACCGGGCACGGTGGCTCACGCCTGTAATCCCAGCACTTTGGGGGGCTGAGGCAGGCGGATCATGAGGTCAGGGGTTCGAGAGCAGCCTGACCAACATTGTGAAACCCGGTCTCTACTTAAAAATACAAAAATTAGCTGGGCGTGGTGGCATGCACCTGTAAACCCAGCTACTTGGGAGGCTGAGGCAGGAGAATTGCTTGAACCCAGGAGGCGGAGGATGTGGTGAGCCAAGAGCGTGCCATTGCACTCCAGCCTGGGTGACAGAGTGAGAGTCTGTCTCAAAAAAAAAAAAAGAGTTGAACTAATAACTAAAGCTGGACCAATGTCATTCTTCTAGAAAATTGCATTTTAAGTGAACTCAGAAAGGAAAAACAGTTAGAACTAAATTATTCCAGTGATGGTCCTTTCAAGAGAGTATTCATTTCTTCTAGGTTTCTGTGGTTCATAATCAAAGTCTGCTAGCTGTTAAGTTCCCTATTTGAGTATTTGATTGTATATTGTCTTAGCTCATGATTTACAGGTTTGGGATATGCACATTTTATTTTGCCAGCTGGATGCTATTTATGCTCCCTGAAGAGCACAAACAGGGTTGGATCTTTATTGTTTGCATTATTCCATAGAATTCAGCACTCATATGTAAGTACTCAATAAATATTATGTAATGAGTAGCAGACCAATCTAAAAAACTTCATTTCTACAAAATATTATTTGCTAGCCAATTTATGTCCTTTCTGAAGCAAGGGGGTAATAAATAAATTTTTAACTGCTACAATTTAATAATTTTCTTGGGTATGACAGTTGTCTTAAACACAGCTTACAATTGATACCAGAAAGGGTCTGGATCCAGACCCCAAGAGTGGATTCTTGAATCTTGGGCAAGAAAGAATTGAGTCCATATAGTAAAGTGAAAACAAGTTTATTAAGAATGTAAAGGAATAAAGAATGGCTACTCCATAGGCAGAGCAGCCCCAGGGGCTGTTGGTTGCCCATTTTTATGGTTATTTCTTGATTATATGCTAAACAAGGGGCGGATTATTCATGCTTCCCCTTTGTACACCATATAGGGTAACTTTCTGATGTTGCCATGGCATTTATAAACTGTCATGGCACTGGTGGGAGTGTAGCAGTGAGGATGACCAGAGGGACACTCTCACTGCCATGTTGGTTTTCATGGAATTTGGCTGGTTTCTTCACTGCAACCTGTTTTATCAGCAAGGTCTGTATGACCTGTATCTTGTACTGACCTCCTGTCTCATCCTGTGACTAAGAATGCCTTAACCTCCTGGGAATGCTGCCCAGTAGGTCTCAGCCTCATTTTACAGTCTTTATTTAAGATGAAGCTGCTCTGGTTCAAAAGCCCATGACACAACAGCTTGTCAGTTTATATATCTTTTTTTTGTGTGTGTGTGTGAGATAAAGTTTCACCTTGTTACCCAGTTTGGAGTGCAGTGGTGCGATCTCAGCTCACAGAAACCTCTGCCTCCCAGGCTCAAGCGATCCTCCCACCTCAGCCTCCCAAGTAGTTGGGTCCACAGGTGTGTGCCACCATGCCTGGCTAATTTTTGTAGTTTTCGCAGAGACAGGGTTTCGCTATGTTGTTCAGGCTGGTCTCGAACTCCTGAGCTTAAGCAATCTGCCTGCCTCAGCCTCACAAAGTGCTGGGATTACATGCTACTGCACCTGGCCTAACAACTTGTATATCTAAGAATAGCCTGAAAATAATGTTAGCATGGGCCATACTTCCTCAATTTTAGGAAAAGAAAGAAGAACTAAAATTCTATTTCAGATATCAGCCTCTGAATTAAAAAAAAAAAATTTGGAGAAAATAGACAACAAAACAAAAAATAATACACTCTGACCGTGGGCTTGTTGTAGCTTCCCCTAGAAACAAGGTGTGCTTTCTCTTTGCAATCAGATGACAAAGGGAAGAGTTTGACTGTGTTTGGGACCTGGTTTACTAAGCCTAAACAAAGTAAATGATTTTATTACTTGCAAAAAATGTCAAGTTGTGTTTTCTCAAAATTATCTGACATAATGCTAATTTAATCGAATGTTTATAAAATTCAAGGAACAAATACAATGGTTAGATGTAATAAATTCAAACAAGCTTGCGCATATCAAGTTTTCAAAACACAGAAAAAGGCACATTCTGCCAAACTACTTACATGTGCTTAAAATGCACAAAGGAACTCACCTATGACAAAACAGCAGGAAATACAAATTCTCTTTTTTTTTTTTCTCATTGTCTTTTGGGACACAAAAGACTTACAGTAGTCCTTAAATAGCATAGTCCTCTGGCTTTGTATCTTAACATGTTACAAAGTTCAGTCTTGAGAAAGGAGTGTAGATACCATATTGGAGCTATTCTGAGTCTGGTGCAATGGTTTCTGGAATTTGCCTTGAACCCACACTCGATGCATTTTCACTTGTTTTTTCCTATTAACTTGTAAGCGACGATCAACCAGATTTTGCTTTTCATCTAAACTGGCCTTGCAGAACATACTGTGGACTTCCCCTGTGAGACAAAAATGGCAATCAAAGATATGACATGTGACTGGGGATGGGGGGGGTCAGGAATGGAACATTGATGGAATAACTGACCATCTAAGTTTCACTTATATAAGAAACACTCTCTAGAACAATTTGGTGAAGCAAACCTGTGAAACTGAGTTTCTTCTACTTCACAAAAAATACACCATGCATATAAAAATACACCTGTTAGGCCAGGCGCGGTGGCTCACGCCTGTAATCCCAGAGCTTTGGGAGGCCGAGGTGGGTGGATCACGAGGTCAAGAGATCAAGACCATCCTGGTCAACGTGGTGAAACCCCGTCTCCACTAAAACTACAAAAAATTAGCTGGGCATGGTGGCGCGTGCCTGTAA